TGTGTAGACTAACTGATCTGCTTGCTTGAATGCTTCATTGTAATCATGCAGAATGGAAAGGATTGCATCAGACCAGAGAAAGAAATCTTCTGTCACCAGAACTTGCATATTTAGGTGTGTGGCTGCAATGAGCCCAGCCCACACGTAACATCTGCAGACTCAGAGCTTTCAGATGCACCTCCCTGATCTCTCCTCCAACTCCTCTCTGAAGTTGCATTCATCAGTGAGTTACCCTGTAAAGCACAAGCCTTCCCGTGTGAGCTGATGGATTGTAGCCCCAAGTGAGAAAGGACAGCCCTGACTTTTGATATTTCCAAAAAAGTGTAAGTGGTCCTAGTTACACATGGACTTTTTGCCCTTCTCTCCCATAGCAATTCAAACAGTGGTGGTAAATTAGTTTTACGAGGCATTAGTAGAAGAGGTCAGTGAGTTTTATTACATTCACGTGAAAAGTTGGAGCCAAGAATGTAAAATGAAAACCGAAGATGAAGAGTACTGGAAAGGAGAACAGGGTTTGTGAAGTGACCAAGTGTATATATGATATTGTGTAAAGTCCCAAAGAGTCTTCAGTCTTCTCCTTCAGAATCAGTTTTGAAGTTACAGCTGTTGCGAAAGGCTCCAAAGAGGTCAACCATGCAGGAGGGCTAGCTGAGAAATAATTCAAATAGGTGGGACGAATGCACTGAATTTGTGCTGGGGTGGTTGTAGCAGCAGGTTTCCTTATGTATTCAACATTCATCTAGTTTGCAAGATGGGTTTGCAGCCTTGGCCTCAGGGACCGGGCTGAAGTTATGGGATGTGATGCATCAGAAAACCAGCTTGCAACTGCTCTTCTCCATTGAAGAGAAGGCTTGATCAGCCTGCAGGGGTGGCGGGGCTGTGTCCCGACATGTGTTCAAAAGGATAACAATACAAACACAAAATATTAATGCTGTGGTGTTCTCTAGTGGTGATTGACAGCTCCAGACACCGAGATGGCATGTTCCTCTGCCAGCAGCCTGTGGAAAGCTGTTCTGACATAGCCAACTCACTTGGCAGCGGAGCCGTGGCTGGCCCGCAGCGCCTGATGACTCAGTAAAGTCCTGGAGTTGTTATTGCAGTGGAAGAAGTCATTCTGTTCTTTAATTCCTTTGTGCAGCCCGTAGATCAGTTGGATGCTATCCTGCCAAGGCCCATCGTTAGTAGAAATTATAATAATGCGAAAGTGTTTTGGGGCTGGGAGAGTCGTGACTGTAGATTCAGCGTTGGAGCTCGTAGTTCCAGAAGGGTTTTCCTTTGCCATGATGCGGAAGTCTACCGGCACTTCAGAACATAGTTTACTTGGTTATCGCTCAGTGTAGCAGCTGGAGGCACTCATGCTGCTAGCCCACCCACATGAGCAGGACGTGGCACGTCTTCATCCTTTTTTTCCTCTTGGTGATTAATCATGTGCTTTCATTACTCAAGAGACTAGATCCCCAGAGCTCTGGTCTTCACATTTCTGTTGCACGCTCATGTGAGGAGCCGATGGCTTCATCCTTCTTGCTTATCTTCCCTCTGTCATCCTGTTGCTCATAGGTTCATGTTGCTTAGGCAGAGATAGGGTTGATGTACTGGTTTTTGGGAAACCAAGGTCTAAGCAGAATCAACAGTGATCTTATTTGGCATCTGGTTAGGTTTTTGGTTGCACACCATGATAAATGTGAGTTGAATTTGTGCCAGAAATCTACCTGGGGGGTTAATGTCTTTAATTAAGATGGACAAATACATAACTTGTGAGAGAGTTTGTTGTGCTTCAGGAGTTTGCATAAATACACTTTTGCTTCACAGAGATTGTGATGGTTTTCCTTAATAATGCTTCTATCTAAGTTTTGGGGAATTTTGAGGCACACAGCATTGCTAGTCACTGTTGGAAACCAAGCTTTGTGAGGAGAGAGAACTGTGGAGCCCGATTCTGAATCTCAGCTTCTTTCCTGAATAACCTCCACTGAAATCAAGGGAGCACAGATGCGTTTCATTATTATTCAGAGCAGCAGGAGCCATGGTCCTCTTTTTTTTGCTTTTGCAGTTTGTGTGTTTTCAAGCATTCTTCTGAATGATCACAAAAATCCTGCTGCAGCGTGAGGTTGAACTAGGTACTGAAAGCCATTTTTCAAGTTAATTCTCTGGCTTTTGAAGTTGGCACATTCCTTTCAACGTGGAGACAAAGTTGCTGTTATGCACAGGAGAAGAGCATGAAGATGTTGCAGCTTTTTGAATAATTAGGTGGGATTTGGCATACACGGGGTCTGCAAGGAATGGAATCGGTTGGAGGGGTTCATCACTCAGTGCTTGCTCAGGGCAGTGGTGGAGTCCCCATCCCTGGAGGGATTGAAGAGTCGTGTAGACATAGTGCTGAGGGACATGGGTTAGTCGGGGACTTGTCAGTGTTGGGTTCATGGTTGGACTCGATGATCTTAAAGTGCTTTTCCAATCCAGGTAATTCCGTGACTTGAGCTCCTTGGCGCTGGGAAGGTGCTGGGTGTTTGAGGATTCGCTGGCCTCTAGTGGGGAAGCCGAGTAGTAGCTACAAGAAGCATCAGTAGCTACAAGAAGCACTGGGTTAGTGTGTGTGCTAAAGGAAGTTAACGTTACAAAGCTTTGGTTTGGAACACTCGTTTTGCCTAATGAGCTCCTGAAGCAGTTGAGGGAGGTCCTGGACTCGTGTGCAGCAAGCCCTTAAGAATATTGTGATTTTTTGCAGTGTGTGTTTTCAACCTCTTAGAGGTAGTTCAGGGAGTTCAGGAAACTCCAAGCATATACATTGAGAAGGGCTGATTTTTTAGATCAATGCAAGCAAAGTTATACCAAACTAGACTGCGAGATAAAACCAAAACTTAATGGTACGAAGCAACCAGAACTTAATCTCAGAATTGAGAAAGAGATGAAACTGTCTTCTAAGTTTGTATAAATGATGCTACCCATGGCTCCATTGCATACATCTCCTTTTTTCTATTATTCATCTAGTATTTCTGTTTCCTCTAAAGAGATTTATATAAGTTGGCTGCACTTTTGAATTCCTAGGGCACCCTTCTTTGCACCCAGTATTCTCGTAGTGGTACCTTGCTGCTGCTCCGTGGCTTTCTCTGCTTTTGCGCGTCGCTGCTTGGCAGTGAAGTCTTGTCTGCTGCACTTGTTCACGTGCTTTTCTTTCCCAATCTTGGAGAAAACTTTGTAGGAGTGAGAGGCACAATGTGATATGTAGCTCAAGCCTGAGAGACTTAAGGGAAATCGATTTTAAAATAAATTTTAAAATGTCAGCATTGGGAGCCAAACAAGGTGGATTTTGTTTTGCTTTGTAGATTTTTTTTGTTGAGAGTTTTTGGGGGTTTTTTGTTTTGTTTTGGTGGTTTTGGTTTTTATTTTGTTTTGTTTTTTTTAAGGTTTAACCACTGTAGTGGCTGTGGTGAAATTAAAATGCTGGAAGACTCCTATCTGTCCCTATTTAGTTAAATAGCTTCCCTACCAAAAGATGCCAATAAGCCCTTTTCAATTAAATGCCCGACCCTTTGAAATTTTTTATCCCTTCTTCAAGCCTGCTTTCCTTGATCTGCATCTTTCTATGTCTCTCTCTATCCTTAGTCTCAAATAATCTAGTTTATTAAGATTTAGGTTATACTCAGGGCCCTACGCATATAACCAAGCTTTTGGGAAGGGAGTATAAGGAAAATTAATTTTGCATGAGAGCTCTTTGTCTTTTCTTTTGATTATATTTCAGTCTTTGACAAAGACATTTGTATTCATCTTGGGTATTGCCATTTTTGTATGTTATGCTATAGATAAATAAGTATTCACAGTGTACCTTACGTACTGTTCCACACGGGTGCCTCCTGGGATGAGCATTGTGTCTTTGAATACCCCGAAACAGGCACTGCTAAATACAGATTGCAGTTTGGGTTCGCATCTACCTGCAGAAGCACAAAAGCAAAGAAGGTGGTTAATGACACGTGCTAATGATCCTGGCATCGTGGTTTTCTGTTTGCAGATGTGAAAGGTCCACCTACACACAGACTGTCCTGCGGCCAGTCCCCCTACACCGAAACAACAACATGGGAGAGGAAATACTGCATCCTGACAGACAGCCAGCTGGTGCTGCTCAACAGGGAGAAAGAGGTGAGAGGAGCTCACGTTGGCCACTCGGGATTTACCTTTTGGCCTTTATTGGTAAAACAGGAAGGCAGCTTTTTTCATCTCCCCTTTGTTTTGTTCATGAGTCTAGTGAAAGGGGGGGGGAAAGGGGAGCGAGCCTGTTGTGCATAGCGCACAGTTCTAATCCAGTGACGGTTGCATGGTGGAGATGACAGCAAACCGTGTGCATCCAAAACTCCCTGCTGGAATTTTACAGACTATGTTTAAGCCTTCCACTACATCTTCCTATGTTATTGCTGCTTTTAAAACCACCACAGCCACGTCAACATACCTCCTCAGGTGAGTGCAAACGGTAGGGAAAAGCACAGTACAGGGGAAAAGGGATTTGTTTGTCGGGCAGCGCTGGGCAGAGAAGGTGTGTGCAACCTTCACACTGTACAGTCATCCTTGCTGCAGTCACCAGGTAAGTTTTGAGACAGAGGTTTGCCCTCTCTCTTGCTAAATGCAGCAAGGAAGATTGAGTGCCCCTTGGCATGGATAGACAAAGCTATTGCAACCACCTTTGCTTTAATTATGAAATTACTCTGCGTGTGTGTATATATAGCATGTAGTGCCTGGCATTGTGCCTTGCAGTGGAAGTCATGTTAATATGGTTAAAGAGGAGGCATGTTTTAGCTGATTGAACCACTGAACAAACGAACATTGATCATTCCCTTCTCCTAGACTGTGCCATGATACATTTGTTTTTTTCTTGTGATATTTGATGTCTACAGGCTGTCACGAATACAGGAGCTTTAGAAGCATTTCATAATGCTCCTGGATTTGTTTGTTTATTTCATTATTCTGCTGTAGATTTATTGGGTTTAAAAATAAATATTTCAGGAGGAGCTATAAAACAGGAATGTTTTCAGATTACTGAAATAGATTTTATTACATATAAATGCCCGTGGATTTGAGTCTAATACCATGGCTTCCTACATTTGGAGATTACATTATTTTTTGTGGTTTTTCTTGATTCTTCTGAAGCTTCTGTGTACGACTCTGTAAAGGCTGAGAGTATGAGACCTGTTTCTGATGCAGCACTAAATATTTTTCATCTTCAGCTATGATCAGGTTTATTTAAAAGGGCTGAAATATTTCCTTGCATAGGGGAGAGTAGGAGGAAACGGTTTAGAGAAGGACTTGAGTTATTAAAAGGGAACAACATCAATGCTAATGCATAGGAGAGGTGATCAAACACAGGGAAAATGGAAAGCCAGTGTCATGATGTTTGTTTACTGTGTAATTCTTTTTCTAGTCTGACAGGACTGTCACCTGAGGAATTAAAGTGTATACTGAACAAACTTAAGGACATGTCAGAATTATTCTTAAAACTATACCAGCACAGGTGGGCTAAAAGGCTGCATCTCACTAAAGAAATGTAATTGAAAACAACACTGGCTCATATCACAAATGATTATGTAAAGGTGGTAATCATGCACTTAAGGGTTCTTAATTTCTCCTACCACATACAATTAAAAGCATTTTGCTGGGAGTAAGATGAGTCTTTTGCTTAGATCCTGAGGAGTAAGTTTGGGAAGTCAGATGTATCTCTGGTGCATGAAGTCATTATAGGCTATGTTTAAATACACTCTGATTTTTGTCAGAGTTTGGAGAAATTAAATATCAGACTCTACAGAGCCTGGGTTTTAAGTACAGTAGTAACCCCAGAAAATCGAGCAGTGGAGTAAATCTTTGCAGTGTACTCTCAAAGGAACCTGCCTGCACTACCACGATGAGAAATGACTTGTTTGGGGAAATGCTGCATGCAGGTGGGCCAAGCAGACATGCCTTTGGTGCAGGTGTGACTCCACATGCTGATAATGCAATTTGTTTCAGAAGCTAGTAGCTGGAGTCAGATTTGCCATGCTGATTTTCAAGTAATTTGGGAGTATATTAAGTGAAAGGAAAAAGGGAACTCCTTGCAGAGTCATGAGTACCCTGTAGGAAAATAAAAGGTTGTTTTAATCTAGTTTACAAGTCTGTGCACATGGCAGTGTACATATGAGCCCTTAAATGCCATACATACAGGGGTAGAACTGCTAGGTAAGAGAGAGGCACAGAGCTGACGCTCTGGGTTTGCACCTTCTGGTTTTTCTGAAATAGAAATATCCCTTGTAGCTTTCCTGAGAAAGGGACGGGGAGGCGGCTCAGTTAAATTTTACTTGGCAAGTCATTCAGAGTTGAAAGGGGCTCTATGAAATGTGAGCTAGAAGTGAGGGTGAACAAAGGCCTAAGGCAGCAGTGGAGAGAGATGCTTGGGAAGAGCATAATGATTGAAAAGTATGTAGGAGGGGAGTTGAAAAAAGCCCATGGGTGGGACCACAGGTACAGGGAGCCTAAGCAAAAGACCAGGTAAATAAGGAAGGAGCAGGTTACTTAAAGAAGAAAATTGAAGATTAAAGTAAAATTAATATAAGGGTGATGCTGGAGGAGTTTTTTTGGTAACCTGAAATGAGGTGAGATAGGCAACAGGAAGCTGAAGATGGAGAGGTTCCTGCTCTGAACATGGAGACTGCCGATTGAGTGGGTAGGTGAGAATTTCTTTGGACTGCTGAAGAGGATCTTAGAAACAATGTGAAGGACAGAAGTAAGGAGGTGAGTGTGGGGGAAGGAGGAGGAGAAGTTAACAGCAGAGTGCCCTTGCAGTCGAAGGGGAGCACTTATATCATCACAAGGCTGGTATAATTTGAAAACTGTAAGTCTGAAGCATCTCATTTTATCCTCTGTGCATCTGCTTTGTTACTTCATGGAATAAAAATCCAAGAAGCTTAGCTTGTGTGAAATTGAAAGGGAACAGAAATGTTTGATGTTTATAGTACTTTGTAAAAATCATTATGCAAGTATGTACCTCAAAGCCAAACAAGTAGGAAAACACATACAAAATACAAACAGGTAAGTGAAAGATCTCTTAGTTCTTTCGGGTATAATGCTAAGTTTGGTTTCTTTCAGTCAGTGCTGTTAAAATACAGCATTATGAATTGTACAGATTTTTAAGACTGAGGGAACAGTACAGAAATAAACAGAGCAGTAAGAAAATTCCTTTCTGAGAACATCCCACCACTATGGATTTTTTTATCAAGGCAGTTTGCATAGAGTATGTGCAAGAGAGACTTTGCGCTGTGCAAGTGCAAGAGTAGGCTGGAAATTAGAGAAATTTTGAGGTACAACTTGATCCAAAAATACCTGTAATTACTTAGACAAAAATAGTCTGATGGTATCGCCTTGTGCAGTGTAGAAAAATATTAATTACTTGACACCTTGTCAGCTTCGTGAAATGAAAGTAGGTGAGACTGGAGAATGAAGATTATTAATGAAGGGAAGAGACTGATGCCCAAAAAGTAAGTAGAGAGAAAATGAACCCCTGTAGGGACATGAAAGACAACTTAGCAAATAAGGAGTCATGAGTGACAGGAGATGTGCAATTACTACAACGTATCATGGTGTGGTAATATCTAGCAGCATCCTCCAAGGTGAGGAGAACAGGTCTAGATTGATTCACTTACAAATCAAGTTGGTTTTGTTTTCTGCAGGGAAGAGTTTCCCCACTGTCGAGAAGGTGTAGATATTTTCATCCTTTGTGAAACCTGTTCCATAGGGTAAGAGCTGTGAGGGCACACTAAAAGTGTCTGCAAACTCAGTGCTGTTTCAACAGGGAAAGGAAATGAGTTAGTGTTTATGAGGAGCAGTTTCAGCTAGATAATCCATTGGACAGCACTTTCAGGAGGGATGTGACAAATGGCTGCATCTGGTTTTGGGCTGCTTTTTAGTCAGTCTTTGTCGGTAACTTGGCTGCTGTCCTGCAGGATCTTTTCATTTTGTGTTCAGTTGGAAATGAAGACGAAGAGCACTTTTCACTGTGTTAGACTCTTTCTTTTTCCTCCCTGCACCCAAAACCTCATCTTTCTTCTTGTCTTTAGAGGTGGTTTTAATAAAGGGCAAAGTATAGTAAAAAGCTACATTCACTGTGACAAGATCTAATACTTACTGCTGCTGGTGACAGAGGCCAGCAGCAGGACATCTCTGATGTATTGTCCTACTCGTCCATCTCCTGTGACTGACATTAATAGCAGAGTGACAGCAGTGCTCCCAGGAGAAAGCAGCAAGAGCAAATATTGATGCATGAGGCCCCAGGGGGATTCTTCAGAACTGTCCTCTGCCATTCTCAGAAGACTTGTCACATTGGTATCTCACAGTAAATACATTTTACCTGTAAATAGGAGTTGGTCAAAGCTGAACCCAGTCGTAAGAAAAGATTTGCTTCAATTCCCAAGTGAAATTAATAATTTATTTTCTAGAAGCCCAAGGAAATGTTTGTTTGTTTGTCAACGTTTTGAAAGTGGATTTCTATGTCAAAATTTTAGCCAGCTTATAACTTTCTGGAGGAAGGTAAAAATTAAAATGAATTATTTAACTGTTTTGTTGGCGTGATTCCAAACTTCTTGACTATTAGTTCAGAAGAGGCTGCAAGTTCTCAAGTTTTTGGCTTGAATCAGTCTTTCCAATCTTGAAAAATCTGTCTGCAATGAAGAAACCTTTTTTCCTACCTTTTTTTTTTTTTTTTTAAAAAAAAAAGAGCCTAGTTCAGTTTGCCTTTAAAAGGCATTAAATGCCTGTAAAGCTTTTACTCCTAATCTCTTCTTCATAAAACCACTAGAAATCCCAGACACAGGCTTTTTATACTTAAAAGCATGTTCAGTGGCAGGTGAGCTGTGATGTTCAAGAGTTCAGAGTCCAAGCTCTGATCCCATCCTTGTTAAATTGTGAAATTTGCCAGTGAAACGTGGCCTATGATCAAAAATTGTCAAGATTGCCAAAATTGTCAGCATTTGGACTGTCCCTAAGCACCTTCTTGTCCCAGAGTTAGTGTCCCAGTGAATCCATTTGACCTACCACCGAGCAGTTTATATACCTGATTAAAAACATGTCCAGCCCGGAGAGGTTCAGAGCTGCTGACCAAGATTATTTTGCATGTTCTTGAAGCTGTATTTTTAAGAGCAGGCTGATCTTATGCTAAGTAATGAATACTGATCCTGTAGTCTTAGGGTTAGTTCTTAAGGGCAATTAATGACAGAACAAGGGGAAATGGGTTTAAGCTGAAAGAGAGGAGGTTTAGATGAGATATTAGGAAGAAGTTCTTCACTGTGAGGGTGGTCAGACACTGGAACAGGTTGCCCAAGGGAGTTGTAGATGCCCCCTCCCTGGAAGTGTTCCAGGCCAGGCTGGATGAGGCTTTGAACAACCTGGTCTAGTGGAAGGTGTCCCTGCTGCTGGCAGGGGGGTTGGAACTGGATCATCTTTAAGGTCCCTTCCAACCCAAACCATTCTATGATTCTATAATATAGACTGAGACTGTGGTTTTGGAGGGGTGGTACTTAAAACAACACAGCACTTTCAAGTCAAACTTAAGGGGGCATCTTTTTTAACTACTTTGCTACTTTCATCTTGTCCATGAAGTTGTGGGATGTTTGTATATTCTCTGGTGTAGATCAAACTATGTAGCATTAATACGTTGTTCCTTATACAGCTGATAGAATTACGGAGTGAAATAAAGAGTATCAGGTTTTTCTCAAGCCACTGTAAATACACTATCAGAGTAGTTTTTGCTGGTGTGGGCTGTTCTGCACTAGATGAACATAGCTACACTGTTGAACCTTTTTTAGTGTGCAGCCTAACAATGTTTTCCTAGTCTGGGCAAATGCGAAGTACAAGAGGCTAAGTGACCCAGAATTAGGACCTGAGCTCTCAGACAATCTTCCTGTTAATGGCTCAGTTCCTCTTTGAAGATAAATCCTATCTCTGGTATGCAGAAGTAGATTTGGTTTTGACACCGACTCCGGTGAGCTGCAGCCTGTTTGCTTTTCCCAAGGACACAAAGGACAGCGTGGCCTCAGTCACCATTCTCCTCCTCACCCTCGGCAGAAAGTCAGCAGTGTCCCCTCAGCTATTGTCACTGTTCCTGTATACACAGTTATCGGGGGTGATAGTAGCGCTTTTATTTGTGTCAGTGGATTAAAGGAATGTTTCTATCATCCCATATCTGAAAGCATACACAGATACCAAAGGGGAATACTTGAAAGAACATGGACTATATTCATTTCTTGGTTAAAAAAATCTAATAGTGGAGAAACCTACCCCACAGGGTGGTAGCTTGATGCTTTTAAGGTGTATGGAAGCAGGTGTGTGGTATGACTGGTAGTAGCTGTTCTGGAGACAGGGCTTGCAGCATCCCACCAACAATGCTCTGAAGGAAATCAGGAGAGGCAGAAGAGGCAGTGGAGCAGAAGAGTGTTTAGAAGGGAATAAGACCAAATAGAGCCTCCAGATGTAAACTGAAAATCTAATATGTGATCTTGATTGAATGAATGTGGCATAAACTAACAAAATTAGTCTCTGCTTAACTTCCTAATATGCTTTCGCACAGAGATTGTTCGTCAAAGGAGCTGCTGTAAAAACCTACCGGCAAAGAAAGTACCTTAACAGTATAACCTCTAGGGATTTGGGAAACTTATTTTGAAAAATGAGCGCTGTTTGAAAGAGACAAATAGACCAGCAGAGGAATAAATAGCATTAAAAAATGACCTTAAGAGAATGCTAAATGCTTAAAAGTCAGGAAATGCCAGAACTGGTTTGTGAGAGCCATTGTCATGCAGCCTGTTTCTGAAATAGTACAGTATCTTGTACATCTTTTACAACCTTCAGTATAAATGAATAATATCTTTTTGTTTGCTATTAATACTCAGTTTTCAGAGATGGTTGAAGATATGAAACGGTAAGCAGCACAGGAAATATGACAGGGGTTTCTATTCCTTTAGCTGCAAGTTGTCTTTTATGTAGCTGTAGGAAAATAAATTACACTATTGCATGTATTGTTGTTGTAGTGTTGAAGCCAATGTCCTCATCAAAAGTGGGCTGAGATGTTTTGGGCACTGAGGGGTTGTGCCTGCCTCCAGCCCCTGGACACTGCATCTCTTCCTCGTCCCCCAGGTTTCTTCCAACTGTTGAATATAACTGCTTAAGGTGGCCCCACCAAGTTACAGATTCCAGATATGGTAAAAGACACCAGACCAACAGCTTTAGAGATAAACAATTTATAAATAACGTTGCAATAACAAATATAGATCAGGAGTATAATTATCTTGAGTTTTTACAACAAGAAATGCAGTAACTCAGAAGCACAATTAGCCAGGTCAAAACGACAGCAGATCCAGTAGTTCATCAATACTGAGCTAATCTTAATATCTGAACATGCAAAGACATGCAAAACCATGGTCATAACCATGATTATCAGGCAGGGCAGCAGGAAGCAGGGCATGGTTTCCTTGGACAAGTGACTTGGACCAGCTAGTGGGTTCAGGGAATTCCCAGTTCCTCGACTGGGGTGTCGTCTCTTTGAGACATGGAAGCACTATCTAGACTTGTTAATTAACCATTGCATCCCACCTCTGGCCCCACTCTGTGCCAGTACTTTGGGGTGGATGGGGCCCAGAAGTACTGTAGAAGGCAGTACTGGCCCCAGGTGGAGACTCAGCTGAGGAAACAGTGGTTACCAGGCACTACGAGCCTGTTGCTTGGTTCCATAGATGATGTCTCCATGTGGTCTCCATCTTTGGTGACCAGCCTTTCAGTAGCTTGAAGGATCTTTGCTGTCTTTTGAACCTCTTCAAAAGGGTAGAACGAAGGATGTGTTTTTCCTGCTGGAAGCAATGTTTCTTTCGTGATGGAAGGAGGTCTTCTGCGGGCAGGGACAACCTGGATTATACCTCTGGCAAGCAGGTAGCTATCTGAAGTTTTTCTCTGTCTGCCTTTCTATATGCAAAGTGACTGATGCTTAAATTAACCCATGCTGATCCTGTAAACAAAATCAGGATACACAAAGGTGTGTGTATAAATTCATAAAGTAATTGGGTTCTCTTCGTTGTCCTCCACATCTCTTTGTACCTTTTTTTTGGATTGGATTAGGAATACCTCAGGTTTGTTTCATGTTCCCAGGTGTCTATACTGTTGGGCAAAGTGACTGTGTGGCTTAGGCTCTTTTAGAGCTCTTGACTGTTGTCTAAATGCTCTCCAGCTGTAGTGATAGGTAGCACAATTTAACACTTTTTTTCCCCCCCAGCATAAGTACCTCTCTAGCAAAATGTAGTCATCCAGGCAGGTGTTTAAAAATAAAAGTTAGGGGGGAGCAAACCCCGAGGGGTCAAGTTCTGCCAAAATTTCAGAAGAGAAACAAGATCTTTATACATTTACACTTTTAAAGAGAATTAGCAGACAGAATTTTATTGCTCTGAAATAGTGAGGACCCCAAGCCTTTCTTAGAGCCTTCTGAGGTCCCACTTTTAGGATGAGTTTGACTTAATCATAGAAGGATTCCCCTTTCTCTGTGTGCTCAATGCAATCAGCCAAATGTCCATTTTTCTTTGAGTTGCTGTAGCTGATCATTGAATATGTGCTGAGACTGCAAAAATGCTTTTGTAATCTCAACGTTTCACATGTAGCCATCTGACCAGCAGCCTCTGCCTGACTCTCCCAGTGTGGAAGTGGGCAAGGCTGGGTGGCAATGGGTCCAGCATTGGAGAACCAGTTTGGAAGGGCAGGGCTGCCTTGTTAGTCAGATGGGCAGGCTGTGTTGTGACTTGATACCTCTGGAGCACAGGTTGGTGCACACCTGTGTGCAGCTCTCTCCAGGCTGCATGTGCACTAAGGCTCCTCACCGCTGCAGTGCTTTCCTGGTGAGCCTCAGGAATTCTGTGGTAAGGCTAGGCGTGCCAAACTGTGTCTGAAAGTTATTACCAGATGAGTGGAAAATTAAATTATTATCAAGATGGCATATTAACAGCATGGTTCAGTGGCAAATTAACAGCTGTCAACATCCTTTTTACACAGGTGCCCATCGATGGGGTCCAGGATCCACCGGTGGATGCTACCAAAGGGCGATGCCTGCGGCGGACGGTGAGCGTCCCCTCCGAGGGCCAGTTCCCCGAGTACCCACCAGAGGGGGCCGCCAAGCTAGGTAAGTGGAAACCTCAGCCACAATAAATTGATTTGAATTTATAGCTGCGAGCTGTATCAGAGGGATACTGCTCCCCAGGCAGCATCCTTGCAAAGGAGCCCGGTGAGGTGGGTAGCATCACAGCCAGGTGATGGTGGAGGTCATGAGACTGTGGTGTTGTTTGTAAGTGCCTGCCAGCAAAATTGCTTCCAAACACCAGGATTTATCCGTACATCAGTGAAGTTATTATGGAGTGCCAGAGAAGCTGGGAAGGTTTGTAGCTGTGTTTGTAAGATTACTAGACAGCCCTGGGGTTTACGACTGAGAGCTGCTTGAATGCAGGTCAATAGGAATGCAGCTCTAGCAGATAGCTTAAGTGGCTCCTGAGTCCCTCTGGAATTTCTTTTGCTTCATATTTTCATAATAAATACTGGATAACAGGTTTTTTCTATAACTTACCTCATGCCTGCCTGTTCAGGGTACAGTTCCTAAAAGAACAAACCAACTGCCTGCTGCTGTTGGCTATAATTACACGTTGAAATCTAGGGAAAGCAAAAGAAATGGCAGGTATTAAAAGTGACAGACAAAAGCTCTGTTGCAGTGGTTTCTGAAGTCTAGATTTGGCTTGATTCCCCCTCTTTATTCCACCCCACCGGTGGCTGCATAAAGAGCATCATTCCAACTCTTTCCAGAAGAAAGGAAGAGTGCAGGGAGGCAGCAACCACGCACAAGTGAACTCTCTATTCCCAACCTATGCAAGAAGCTTTCCTTGGCATAGGCTGATAGGATCTAGGAGCAATTCTTCCTTAGTTCAGCTGTAAAAAAAAATGTCAATCGTGGGAGAGAGTGAGCTCTGAGGAAAAAAAGTAACATGCATCTCTAAACAGCAAAGCAGCCTCGATAACATCGTTGTCAAAGGTGAAGAGCAGGTAAGGTATTTTTAATTTCACAGGCTCAGCTGGTTTTTATGCCAAAGAATTTTATTCTGTATGTTGCTCACAAGTCATTAAAATCCCACTCTTTGAGATAGTTAATTAACACATTACAACTGTAGTACTTATTTATTTGTACTTGCCCGTAGAACTACTTAACTCTTTATTATTTGAGGAAGGCAGTAGGGTTCTTTTTTTTGTTTGATTCCCAGTTTAGAAGTCTGAAAAGAAACAGGGCAGGTTGGGGATTTAGGAAGGAAAACTGCAAAATACTTGGGAATGTGTGACAGACAGAACTCCTATTGGATTTGTTTGTGGCATTTCAAACACAGCTCTAAATTATCTCCTTGTTTTTTGACAGATGAAGAAATACTCATTCTTGTTTGGAACTAAAACCAATATTAAACCTGTTTACACAGTGTTATAAGCAAAGTACTTGCTTCAGGTGTGGGGCTAGTGAGATAAATGAAGAATCATATTGCAGCCAGTCTGTGCTATGCAATGAATATTATTTACAGCTTTGCAAACTAGAAAGACCTTTAAAATCTAGGATTTAAAAGACTTTTTCTATACCATGTGCAAAAAAAATGTGTAGAAGGCTTTCTAGCACTGAGCATCTGAAGAGCTGGAAATCCCAGTGTTGTGTTTTTAAATGTAACCTTCTTAATTTTTCTTGAATTACCATACAGAGTAGATGACTGTGGTATTTGGGTATATGCCTTACTATATATTTTGCTACAATTTTAGATGCATGTGGTATCTTGTAGTGTGCTACTTGATGTATGCCTGACAAGAATGTGTATTAAAAGTAAAAGAGAAACTTGTATCCATATGGTCCTCTCCATATGAGAGCTGCAACTGTAGTGAATACAGACATCACAAAGTGTATAGCTAAAGGAAGTGGGCATGTGGTGGGAGGGGAAGAAGAGAGGCATGAGCTTGAGAAAAACTGAGCAATGTCCATACTGTGAGGAAGGATGAGTGAGGGTAAGTAGGAGGAAAGTATATCTATTATCTCTGATTGCAACACCCTAGGTAGTTCCCTTGTTTTCACATCCTGGTTAGAAATGTCTCTTACCGTGATTACAGAATTCCTGCTAATGGAAAAAAAGTGGGTTGAATAGCGATGTGCCAAGATGTTGAACCAAAGGACAAACCAGTGAAGGAAACCATTACACATCTTTATAAAAGAGAAAGAAACGGATGGTGGCAGCCAGAATGTATCATCAGCAGCACAGATAACAACTGGACTAAAATAGTTTTGGAATGGACACTAAAAGCTGAAAAGTGCAGCAGAGGCAGCTAAGATATCTAGTAGAGAAATGGCTATGCAGAGCTGATAAGAATATCGAGCTTGTCCTACGGAATCGTGTGCGTAACATGGCAACAGCAGGCGTTGCGTCTTATCATGATACCTGAAATTTCTGCTTGCAGATGAGCTCCTTTGGGCTGGCTCTAGTGCAGAGGTTAAGGCATAGCAGTGGCATTTGCTTTTTTCCCCTAAGGTTGTCATACCTTTCTTGTGATTTGTTGATTTATCTATTTATTTATTTTTAAAAAGGAAAAATCAAGATGGAACTCTTTTCATCTGTAGCGCTACAGTTACAATATGAAAAGTCAAGGATGTCGTATGAGGTCAGTCTTCTTGGTAATGGAGCAACTGGAACAGTGCTTGTTCTTCAGGGGCTCTGCATAATCAGCAGTAGTACCCATTCTGCAAATTTTTGTGGCATTCTTTGTAGCATTGTGTGCACATCCTTGTAGCACCATTCCTAGGAAGTGTGTGGGAGAGAAACTACCCACGTTACAGCTGAGAAGTTGAAGCAAGAGGTGTGTAACTCGCCAAAGGTCAACATGAAGTCAAGTGTGCTTTACCCAAGGGCTGCTGTAGTCATTCTTACCATCTCTTTCATTTTTACCCTTGCTG